GGCTCACAAGCTTTCTGAGAGATCAATTTCGAGCCCTACAGGGTTACCGAGTATTACAAAAGTCGTGTCTGGTAATAGCAGTTGTTTTACCACCAGGACGTTTAATTTTCTGGCAGCTCATAAATGTGAAAATGAGGAACTATTTTCAAGAAATTATCTCTGTATAAGTTGATTATTTCACTGCGGTTGAGTTCGATTAAAATATTTTTCATAGCTTACATGCAAACATAATAATATAAATAACGAAATAATTTTATAGTATCTTCGCCATATCAGCCATTCCAGCTCGAATGGGATACCAGGTACAGTCTCTTACGAAGACAATCAGGCGAATATAATGAAGAAGTCTGAAAATATTTACACGCTTACTTACTCATATAAAAGTAAAAAAAAATCTCCTTTTCTACACCGTTTGAATTTGCCCAGCATATTTTTTTCAGAAAAATGCCTAGCACGCACAACTTCGAAAGTGACTATAGCGTTTTCTGACTACGCCTTAAAAAATCTTAGAGTTGATTGATATGTGGGGTTTAACGTACCAAAATCAGCGTATGATAAAATGTTCAAATAGAAATGTTCTATTGTTTGTCCCACTACAAAAATCGTCATCTATCTTGCATTGCTTTCCTTCAATTATCGCCGTGCACCCGGCCAGTGGCCTGTCACATTGACGTCACGAAGGACATGCGCGTTGTCAGCATGACAAAATTCTTGATAAGAAATTGGCCAGCGTGAAGTTTTCATGAAATGAAGCTCAGTGATGGCAATTGTTGGGGGAGAAAAAGACACCCGTATTACTCGATCATTTTTGAGAGTGCACGAGGCAGCTCGTCAGTGCTCTCTCTTAGCCCTTCAAGTCAGAACCCATAAGCTGTGGCCTCATCGGTATTGACAGCGCTGATGACTCTGTCCTGTTAATCTGTGAAGGAACCCAGGCTATCTTTGCATACTTGTTCGCAGCAAGCTGCACACTTCCGGGATGACATCGACTCTCGAATAGTCGGCGTTCCCCCACTCTCTCAATCCTTCATGCAGTCCCGAATGTGACCTTTCCCGCTATACAATGTATACGTTCGTCGTAAAGCCTCCAGTTTTTCTTGTAACCTAGTGCCCTTTCTCGTCACTTCCATCATGTGCCCCATCCAGCGCTGTTTTCAAGTTCCAGAGTGTACCAACGAACCCGCATCAACGCATTTTCTCAGTTTATCTCCAGCTGTAGGGGTCGGGTTTTACGAATGCGTACCCGTTCGTCATTGGACCACCAGACGGAGACATGTGTAATTCATACGGCTCTGCACAGAAAATTGAAGGGTACATAGTGTTTTTCTTGTGTGTCTTTTTGTGAAGCAACTTTTCATACAGTTTGGAACCAGCCGGATTTTAAGCCATTTTTTGAGGACAAAAATATCTGCGTCCTAGAACCACACTTCGCTCGCAAACAGCAATTACTACAGTTTTTCAAATTTATCAGCCTCCTTGACTTGTCGCTTCTGTGGGTAAGGCAGTCGGGCAGTCGGCAGGGACGGTTTGAAAGGTGTGAGCTGGTCATACGGCAACGTGCGTCGGCTGCACAGATTTGTTGAATCTCTCTCAGACGCTCTCCCTCATGTGTACTACGAGCACTAGGGTGAAATCCTTGGAGTACCATTCTTAGGTAATAGCAGGAACGATACAAGTCACCCGCTTCACCATGCACACTAAAAGCAGACTGGTTGATTCTCAGAAGTATGCCACACTTGACTTCCCGGATTCTTTCGGAGGCTCATGAACTCGTACGTACAGGCATATGCGGGGAGTCTCTGGAACTGGTGCAGTGGTTCTTCACAGGGCGGATAGTAACTGTTGGTCATGGGCTGCGCGGGTCGCCGCAGTGCTTGGGCGTAAATTAGCACAGGGACGACAACGAGTCTTGGTGGCACGAACAGCTCTGCCACCTGGCGAACCTCTTCGCGGAAAATATCGGCGAGGGAAGTTACTGGTGGCTGAAATCGTGTTCTCTAAAGTCGAGCGAGTTCCTCACGCACTATTCTTGGCACAACTTCGCGAATGGCATCAGTGTCGCAAGGCAACGCTGGCGCCGATGCTGATCCTAGAATGGGGTGGCGGTCGCAGAATGAGAAGCGTGGCTGAGCAGCTCGTACCATAGAAGTCGCTTCACTGACGAACACAGCTACTGTAGCTGGAGAACTTCGCATCAATGCAGCAAACAATTGCTCCTTTACATCGCGCATATGCAGACGCAACGTTTTCGCTTCCGACATGTTTAGATCAGCACGCCTAAAAGCCGTGACATGTCCCCCACGAACATGGCTACGCTTTCAGTAGGCTTCTGAAATATGCTATGAAGGGCCTGGTCTGCTCACTTTTTTCGTTTGGGACAGCTGCAGGTGTCGTGTATCTACCGTTGGAAAGCCTGCCAGGTAGTGATCGACTGCTCGTCCTTAACAAACCACACTTGGGCAGAGTCCTCCAGGGAGAAACACACATACCTTAGCTTCTTCCTTTCGCTCCAACTGTTGACATCGGCCACCCGATCAAAGTCGTCGAGCCAGTCCTCCTCGTCCTCAGAGGAGTCATCAAGGGAGGGCCACGGCAAGCGTGGTGTGTTGAAGATCAGTGACCAATGTACCTGTCCCGTATCGTACATCTCTAGTGTGTGACTTGCGGTTGTGGTCGGCATCCTCGGAAGAACTCACGGGCTGTACTTCGTAGCCTTGAAGCCATCGGATTTTGCGTAGGTTGTCTTCTTCCGATGAGGTTGAACCGGTGTTGAGAGTTTCGAACTCCTGGGGGTCAGAGTGCCTAGACGTCTAACCAGTGCACCCCCACCAGTTTCTCACGGACGAACCACACAAGACCTGGTATCAGCACACGTTTGCTTACTCGAACACCTCATCATTCTCTTCTTCGTTCATTCCTCAGTTTTGTCAGTACCGTGACAATATTATTGAGAACCGAGCAATAATTATACCAAATAAAGTATAGGGGACGTTGTTTGAAGTATTGCAATGCAAATGTGTAGAAAAAAAGCGGGCAAAAAGATAACGTGCCACCAGCAGGGACCTAACCAGGGACAGAATAACGCCTCTGATGCTTTGCTATCTGAGCTATGGCAGCGGTCATCCCTCCGTCTATTTATGGGGTTCATATGTCCATTCTTTTTTTTTTCTGCACATTTACATTACTATTACTACTAACAACATCCCGTGCACTTTCCTTGACATCGTTGTCTGTTAGTTCTCAAAACTATTCACGTATATATACAAAAATGTCCAATTATTATTGAATCGTTCAACCTAATTCACTACAATATCACCAGGTTGTTTGTGAGGGCACAAGTATTCACCAACAAGGTACAAACTATAATCAAAATTATGTGTCATGCTTCTTTACCGTAATTCATGTGTGGAGTGAGAAAGTATAAGCAACTGCGATTACAAAGCTTCCTGATGAATTGTTTTTTGCCTTTTTTTAGGATTAAGCCACAACATGTCCATCGAATTCAATTGTTTTTTGCAGAAGGTGTCTAGGCGATAGTGATGGTGATTATTAGTAACACGAAATGAAGCATTGTTATACCCCGTATTCACAAACCATGTCCAAACTTACCTAAGTTTTTTTTTATCGGTTGTAGGCTTCTATTGCTTTGGTGTACAAAGTAGGCCAGTATTTGGAAACGAGTCTTGTTGTAATCTTTCACCTCGTCACCATTTTTGAACCTTTATAACGCATGAACAGGGTACAGAAACTTGAGAGAAACTTGATGTAAAGCCATGGTTGGTTTTCGAATACGAACCTATGTATCACTTTGTATTTATTTCATCTAGATGTTTTAATCAGTTTGGAACAATAAGGTGATGAGTGATAAAGTGCAATAACCACCAATTTAGTAAAGCAGTAAAAAAACCTTTATGAGCTCTAACACTAGCCACGTTCCATTAGTGTGATGAGTTTTTGCAATGTGTTTACAATCACCGCAGCCATGCCGTTTTTCATGTCAACAAAAACTACTGTAGCGATGAAAAATTACTGCCTGCAGGGTCCTTAGGTTCTTCCCTAAGAGACATCAAGGCGAAACATTTTTTTGCTTACCTGGCTCCTTCTTTGCACTGTTTCTTAGAAGTTCTTTGTTTTTTCTTTGACTTCCTAATCGACTGTATTGATCCTCTTTCTCTCCCCTACCCTCTGAAGCTTTCTGCAATTTACGTGTCGTAACACTGCCTTCATAGTCGCACTACCTTCGACCAAACAATGATATCATGTGATCACAATGTCATAATGATAGTTTTTGAAGACAACGTCATAAAACTTGGGGATATGGGTCGTTATAGTGACGTCACATAATCACGTCACAAAATAAACAAAGCACGACACTTTTTCTACAATACACCATATTATCAAGATCACGGTCTGGTGAGACACATAAAACTTTTTTACTATTCATTGTGTATTCCGTATGCCACAAAAAGTGTACCCTGTCACTGAAACTGAGAATTTCTATCTATATACCCTCTGTGGTGGTCTAAAGGTTTCTACTGCCAACCCGAAGGTCGCGGATTTCAATTCCGATTGCGGTGGCTGCATTTTTGCAGGCGAAACTATAAAGTGTGCTTAAGATTTAAGTGGCTGTTAAGGCACCCCATTTGGTCGAAATTTCTGGGGCCCTCCACTACGGTGTCTCTTGTGGTCATACGATTGTCTCACGTTAAACCCCAACAATTATTGATAACCAAAGTGAATATGCACGAGCTTGTCGATTACCAGCCTTTACGTACCGCGAATTGTCAATGTCGGCTTTGAAAAGCAGCTTAGAGTACGGGACACCACGGCATTAACGATGATGTCTTGACTGGAGCACTACGGAATCGCAGAGCCGAGCTTTCGTGTGCTCTGGCTCGAAGCTAATCGTTCTTGGGAGACATGGGGTGTAAATATGATATTCACTAGGTGCGGCATTTCAAGTATTCTTCTAATTCCTTTCTCCTCTTGTTTCTCTGCAGGGTTTTCTGAGGATATACAAGCAATTCTTTCCTCAAGGTGATCCCTCGAAGTTTGCATCGCTGGTTTTTCGGGTTTTCGACGAGAACAAGGTAAGATGGCCGCTTGCTTTGCGTACTTCCAGCTGTCATTCGCGTGTGACTTCTGCTTAGCAATACAATTAAATATTTTATTTCATCGTGAGGATGACGGTATTTCTCGTTTTACATTGACAAATTTCTTTTTTACACTTGGCGAAGGTGCCATTGGGTACTCTGAAAATCAAAATAAATAAAAAAAATATTGAACTCTGACTACGAAATCTTTTAGCTAATTAGTTCATTACACGTATTGTAACTTGTGAATAAATTACAGTGATTTTTAGATGCGCATCCACTAGCTCCTTATTTCAAAGCTAACGCCGTTTATGAGATAAAATCGTTTCAGACTTTAGGATAAAACAAACTCGTGTATTTATTAATTGTTTTAGTAATGCACCTTGTTCTGCAATGCGGCTAAAATAATACAGGAACATCTGACATTTCGTCGCAAGCTTTGGGCATGTATGTCTCTAAACGGGTGTCGTACTCAAATCACGTCAAGTAACTCTCTCAATTGCGAAGTTGTCACTTATGTTTTGTAAATTGCAGTCTTTATCATATGTTAACTCAATTTGGGGTATTTATATAAATATTGCAAACTATCCATATATATGTATATATATTGTAAGGATAGCGGTGCTATTGTTAGGTCGCAAGCGCGAAGACGAGGAAAACGAAGCAGAATATACAAGAACCGGCCCAAGACCTGGTGCTGCCTCTGTGTCTCTCGTTCTTCACAATGTATAGGAGAGCATGCGGGTGTGTGCATGCATTTAGCGCGCAATATGTGTAAAAAATAACACATTCATTATCAATTTCTTACAAGCGCTTGCGTGTTCTCTTACCCAATGCAAGTACAGTAGCAAGAGCAACGTGTATTGATTAGGTTGAAAGGCTCAATAGGCCGAATGAAGGATGCCCCGCTAATCGAAAGAAATGGGGGCAAACATTCACGATATTGTCGACAGAAAGCTTACTTTTGTCGTTTTATTGCGATAGAAATTGTATGAAGACTCTCGGCTTGATTTTGCCGCTGGCGTCAGCGTCGACGTCGGCGTTGATGTCATGCACCGTATATGTATACGTATCTATATACTATATGAAAACGCAAGAAAGAAAAAAACCAGAAAAAAACACTGGCGCACGGAATCGAATGTGGGACCTCTGCGTCGTGAAAGCGAGTCGCTAACCACTGAGGCACCCCAGAGAAGGTTCTGTGACCGCTGCTGTGTTTTCGGCATTATTAGAAAGATGGCGCAATGAGCACACGTCGCCACGTCGCGCAGCGACGCCCACGCTGATCTCATACGTGTACTTTGCCCGGCTTAGTGAAAGAGCGACGCTCCCTCGTGTACCCTGATCTCGCGGTGTCGAGGAGGGGAGGATCGTACGCGTTGCCTGGCCTCGGGCTTTACGTGGAACAATTCTGCTGTAGTCACCGGGCGCACAAAGGTCACTGCAATCATTGCAGTCTCCGTTCGCGAAAAGCGCGTGCTTTTCAGACTCAGCGAAGTAACAAATGAGGAGCTTATTTGCGTGCATCCGTATACCTGTGAGTACGTTTCGTGCGTAATTTGTGCGCGAGAAACGCGGGGCACGTTTCGATCTGCTTTCCATTCTGCACGTGACCTTTCACACTGTTGCTATCGCGTTTATTGCTTCACCTCTGCGGCAAAGCTCTGAATTTTTGATAAGATCGCAGCTATAGTGTTAGCACTAGCATGAATTTCTGGAGATATTACGGTGTTTAGAATAAGCAGAGAACACTTCGGGCAAAACACTGAACTTGGAGCCGCTGAAGTGTGATGTGAATTCATTTTGTGTTCACGTGCTTAGCATTCGGAGCCTCGTTCTGGGGCCTCTTGTACCAATATCCTAATTGAACTGTCCCCTTTCGGCGGTTTCTTTTGGAGCTATTTGGTCCAGACATCCATCTTCTCCCTAACCTGTAAAACCTACAAATTAACTGGGTACTTTGTTCGTTATAGGGGTGCATTCACTTAATTAGGAGAAGCCCGCATTTGTCTCTGACACTGGCCTTTTGTTCCTCAACGCGCAAGCGACGCTTTCATGAGTGCTACCGGCAATTGCAGGCGTGACACTCCTGGGTGGTTCAGTTCGGGATGCTTTTAAACCTCCGCCTCCACCACGTCTGGCTTATACGGTGCAGGCAGCAGAACGGAACACATATATGCTTCGTTTTACACATAGAGCTACCTATCTCATTAAAAAGTGTCGGTGCGTCCCACCGTTTCGAGCTCGGCGTTCACAGCAGGGATGTATATCGTTGAGAAGTCGGCGAAGGAGACATATAACAAAACCCGATGGTTCACGACGACAATGAAGAGCCTACAGAATACACTGCCCGTGTATTGAAATCGCCTGCGCTAAAGAACCAGAGCAAGACTACTCTTTATAATTTGCTAATTAGATACGCCTGACTAATGAGATACGTTGAAGGGTATACTGTAAACAATACGCGATCAATGGCACGATACCACGACCTAAACAAGACAAAGGGAGGAAGGCTCACGTATATATGCTCCTACCCAATTGCCGTTGATGAGATCCTAATGTTGTTCCTCGAATAAACGACTCACCCAGGTTTGAGAGATTATTTTATTTTATTTACAGTATACTTCGGTCACAAAGGACCATGCAGGTGGGAAAATATACAGTTTCAAATTTACAAGCACAAATGAAGCCGCAAGGCACACAAGCTCACAGAAAAGGGAAACAAAGCAATCTTACGGCATATCTAGAAGTACTTACCAGTGCAGCCTGTCAAGATAAAAAATAATACAGTTCTTTGGACAGTGACGCACACTATACGAAGTATAAAAGTAAACAAAAAAGAACTCTTCCCGAAATACGTCGGGTGCGTAAATGCAGTATTTGCAAACTATGAAGTAACACTGCATCAATAAAACACGTAGTGAAAAAAACGACGAAATGCAAAAGTGAAAGCGATGAACATTCACTGGCTTACTGCATTTCCAAATCAATGAGTAGCGCACTTTCAAATGGACCTGCAGATTTTAAAGAAACAATATTTTCAGACAGCGGATTCCAATCAGAAATGGTTCGCCGAAAAAAAAAAAAGAGTACTTAAAGAGATTAGTGCGTGTTTGATAAGGAAGTAGATTATGTGCATGTCGATTTCTCGATGTACGTGACAAAAATGGCTGAATAATTGCACGCGCATTCACATTAAGTCTGTTGTGATAAAGCATAAATAAAAATTTAAGTCTTGATATTTTCCTGCGCTGCTCTAAGGTTGGAATCTTATTTGCCAGCATTAAAGATGATGGTGAATCTGTCTCTTACATTTGTTGAATATGAAGCGTACTGCCCACCTCTGTACCATCTCGAGCCTATGCTTATCTTTTTTGTAGTGGGGATTCCAAATTTCGCTAGCGTATTCAACTTTAGGCAAAACTTAAGTTTTGTAGGCGAGAAGCTTTGCATCGGGGGGGGGGGGGGGGCGTATTTAGTCTTTGCCTAAGTAGGCCAAGTTTGTGTTTTTTGTAGATCGTCAATCCCAAATGTTTGTACTCCGTGGCTTCTGCGACGGTGTCAGTATTAATTTATACGTGCATAAAAAAGGTTGATTGATTTGATTGATATCTGGGGTTTAACGTCCCAAAACCACTATATGATTATGAGAGACGCCGCAGTGGAGGGCTCCGGGAATTTAGACCACCTGGGGTTCTTTGACGTGCACCCAAATCTGAGCACACGGGCCTACAACATTTCCGCCTCCATCGGAAATGCAGCCGCCGCAGCCGGGATTCGAACCCGCGCCCTGCGGGTCAGCAGCCGAGTACCTTAGCCACTAGACCACCGCGGCGGGGCGTGCATAAAAAAAAAGGTTGTATTTTATTGCTTACGCTTAGCAGCACAGTTTTCTCGGAATTCACGCACATTGACCATGTTGTGCACCATTCGTGGATTTTTGCTAGACTAGAGTTTAAAGAAATTTGATCATTTTGCATATTACACTTTTGAAAATAAAACAATCATCGGCAAACGGCCTAATTTGCACATCAGCTAGGACACACAGCCGCGGTTATATTGTTCACATACATGAGAAGAATTGGTCCCAAGACGCTTCCCTGAGGCACACCAGACGTAACTGGCAAGCGCGTGGATGAGTATCCATCAACATCAACAAACTGAGTTCGGTTGGATAAGTACTGTTTTATTCAATTTATAATAAAAGATGGTAGGCCAAATCTTTGAAGTTTGTTTAGAAGTTTACTGTGGAATACATGGTCAAAGGCTTTGCTAAAATCCAAAAAAATAAAAATAAATCTGACCGGCCCAATCGAGGGTTAAAGCAACCTCGTGATTAGTGGTGGTAAGTTGTGTCATTGTTGAAAGGGTTTTACGAAATCCATGTTGGTGATCAGATAGCAAGTTATTGTGTTCAAGAAAATCGGTTATGAAATGTACGAGTATGTGTTCAAGTATTTTACAGCAGGAAGACGTCAGGGATATCGGGTGATTGATAAGTGGTGTTCGAAGAAAGGCGCAAGGATGGCGAGCGTCAGGCCCTCAATGTTACTTGTACTCTTTGTCTCACAGTGTGGCGGAGATTGGCAGAGACATGCACGTGAACGAACACACACACACACACACACACACACACACACACACACACACACACACACACACACACACACACCACACACACACACACACACACACACACACACACACACACACACACTGTTTGATTCTGTGACTGACACAGTGAACGAAATGAAAGATACAGACTTCACATGCATCACTTGTTACGCGACATTGAGCAAACATTGCGTAGTGTACTTTCCTCTGTATTAGCCATCCGGCTTACTTCGTCAGCATGCATTCACTAAACAGCATGCATTCACATAACCTTTCATATTTTTTTTTCACAGTTTCAAGTTCAAGTTTATTCATTGCTGAGTACATGAGTACAAAAAAAAAAGAGCTCACATAATATATACAGGGTCAGGAGGTCCCAAAGT